AGAGGCAGGCAGATCTCTGTGAGTTCGAAGCCAGCCTGGTCTACAGAGCGAGGGCCAGAATAGGCTCCAAAGCTACACAGAGAAACCCTGTCTTGAAAAACCAAAAAAAAAAAAAGTCAATTTTTATTTCAGATGACAAGTAGCAATTACATATTTATTGATGAACCAGCCTGTCTCCATCTTGGGCTTGAAAGCCATCTTATAATAAAGACAAACTAGGTTCATTCCTGTTTGAGATTAAATCTCTGTTTTTCAAAGATTGGACTATGCCCCACCTGTAACCTTAACCACAAATGGTCCTGTACTGCCTGTTCCAGGAAATGGCAACCATGTCTTTGTTTCAAAAAGTTGTTATGGCCATCTTGCATGCCTACCTTTGATTCAAAGGGTTGTTATGACCACCTGTTGTTATGACTGCTTTGCTATATTCTGCTTCTGTAGCCCCGTCTATTTGCCTGTTAAATCCCCTATTTGAAAACCCAACCCCTGAAAACCATTCTCTTGCTCCACCTTAGGGAGAGATAGGTTATGTACACACAAATTTTAAAAAGCTTGTTCTAATTAATTTGGTTATGATGATTTGGAATGGTGATCTTTCTCCTTGAATCTTTGGGGTTAATAGTATGTGTGAGGTACAGTGTACTACTTCAATACACACCTACCTCGTAGGGTGATCAAATCGGGCTATGAGCATAGCCATTTTGACTACAAAGGCTGAAGAAGGAATTTAGGACCTTCGATCAGTTTAAGTGGTATACACTGGACACAAGGCAGGCTTTTTCACTTGTTCCTTTTGTTTTGTTGAGATAAGTCTCAGTGCTTGACAGCAAAGTGGGGAGATGCCCCCCCCAAACATCCCGGTTTGAAAAACAGGACCTGGGGCTGGAGAGACGGCTTAGGGGTTCAAAGTGGGCACTGCTCTTGCATAGAACCTGAGTTAAGTTTCCCAGAGCCCATGGCACCCAGGTGGGGCAGCTAATAAGTGCCTGTAATTCTGCTCCAGGGAATCTGATACACTACTCTACTGGCCTTCCTGGCCACTGTACTCAGGTGGGGCAGCTAATAAGTACCTGTAATTCCAGCTCCAGGGAATCTGATACACTACTCTACTGGCCTTCCTGGCCACTGTACTTGCATGCATAATCCTAGTCCACAAACACACTTTTTTTTTTTTTTTTAAGAGAAGGAAAAAACAAGGCCTGGTCATTTAAGGATAGGCCAGAACATTGGTGTAAGAGAGGTAATGTCACCAAAGAGCACTCTGCTTACACAGCCCAGTGATGGGTACCGGGTCTAGACTCCAGTGTAGGCTGTGAAACAAGTAGGAAGAGGAAGGGGTCTGGTCCACTCTTTCCCCTGGGAGCTCTCATCACAACGCTTTCTTCCCCTTCATATACAGAAACATGTACAAAGCCAGCACACCACCCATTGGGATCCACACCCCTCTGTAGACATTCCCATGTATCACACAGGTGTTAAGATGTGTGATTGCTAACCCAGGACCAGCCGTTGACCTGTGACCTGCTTGATTCTTTGTTCCTGATACAAAAGCCCTATTTTCCTACACAGATCTTGTCAAATGTATGTAGTTTTTCGGTCAGACAAGAAAGTTTAGATCTGGGAGGAAGTTTCTAGCCAAACGTCTAAATTCCTGTTTTTCCACTCTAATTCATATTTCTCTGCCCTGCTTCACCTCTATCAATGGTGGCCTTTGTTGATCTATCTTTGGCTCAGTTTCTAACTTAGCAATTGTGCAACGGTTTGAATGACAAGGTAGTCTTAGTAAAACTGTGCTGTTTAATGCGGTATAAACTGATTTCTATCCAAGAGCTGTCATAAAATTGTTAATCAAGGAGCTGAATTCTTACAGCTAGTCTTCTGTCACCAATTTCTCAATCTGCCCCTTTGACTGCCTCACCAGCTTGAAGTACAAAGAAAGACACATTTATTGGGAAAGATACAAAGAGAGTCCATTAAGAGCCCAGCAAGTAGCGCGCATGAGGGCAGTGGTTGAAGATCAATCAGTTCACACACACATAGTCCTTGAGTGCCCGCACGGACTTGCAGCCAGAGCCAGTGCCTGTCCACCAAGTTGAATCAAAAAGCAGAAATCTGGCAATATGGACACACAAATGTGTTAACTCTCCATGGTGCAAAGGGGATGGATCAGGCTAGCATGCCATGGAGGCAGAAAAAGAGGAGTGGTTGGTTGGAGGAGAGTCTTTACTGGCTGACATCTTACAAGATGAATTTGCAATTCCATGGGGACAAGATGTTTGGAGTGGAAACAATATAAGCTGAAGTAGAAGGTTCATGGAGTAATTTAGCATGATAGCCTAGCTCAACTCCTTCGTGCTATGTTAAATGCTAGCAGTCCATTTCCTAACAGAAGTACATAAGGTTTAAGAGCAGGGACTCCAGAACACACTCACCAGGTTCAAATCTGAGCTTACCCACTCACTAGCTATGACATCTAGGTGTAGGAGTACTTTCTTGTTGGGACTGCCAGCCCACAAATAATGACACGGAGACTTATTATTAATTATGAAAGTTCGGCCTTAGCTTAGGCTTGTTCCTAACTAGTTCTTATAATGTAAATTAACAGATTTT